GACTGAAAGAGAATTTAAATAGTAAAATGCTTTCGTTGGTTGTTAGTACAGGTATTAAATTGTTGAAGCTATTACAGTAAAACTCGTTTAGTACGAACACGGATATTGCAAAATGACTGATATAGCGAAGTCATTTTTAATCCCCACCTAAATAAATTTTATGAATTTCTTATACGGTTATAACAAATTACGGATATAGCGAAGTAATTTCAAAGGTCCCAGCAACTTCGTTATAATCTAGTTTTGCTGTACAGGAAATTAAAATACATTTGTAATTTTTCTTCAATCACAGGTCTTCATAACAAATAAAGGGGAAAATATTCAATGGATGTAAATATATGGATATGACAAAATCTACTGTACTTGCCATTTTCATGATGGGGGCATTAAATCTAGGCATAAATCCCTATATAGCTTGAATTAGCTTTGAATTATATATACCTGCAAATTCTGGTCCATATACTCTTGCCTGCTTTGCAGTAGACTCTTCCAACTCCCTTATAAGAAAAATAGTCAAAAATAAGTTTGATAAGTATAGAGCCTAGGATTGAATGTGTGGACTTTCCTAAAAAACAATTGCCGAATTCGACTGGTAACTTTTCCTGAATTAAAATTAAGCCACGCCCACATGCGCAGAACTGAAATATTAATTAATAGAAATGGACCAGTCGAATGAAAATTCGATAGAATTATTCAATTGACGAAAAGACAACATCCGGTTTCTACCATGGAAGACCGAAACAACCGAAAAAGAAAAGCAATCAACTTTATTTACGTTTGTTTGAATGAAAGCAGTGATTCTGATGATGATGATGATTTGGCAGAATTTTTGGTTGCAATGTAAGAATGTTAAATAACTAGAAAATAAACAAATTTTGCGTGTTTACTCGTGTATTGCATTTAACTTTTTTATCGTTATAAAATCGAAGAAACTCAGAAATCTGTAAGTTTTTTTTATTTGCTGTTGAGAAAATTCGAACGGAGTACCTTGTTTTGCCCAGTATCACATAAATACTATGTACAAGATGTCAAATAACCATTTTCGAGTCGCAAAATATTGTTCAATAATCATGTGCCTAATAAAGAAGTTAGTGATTGCTTTGAAAAGGTAAAAACCTACTTTCGTCTCACTGCATTTCCATCGTCTCTTCTATTTCCCGCCATCTTTTCTTCAGTGATGCATATCACGTGACTTATTTCAAGCCCGATTTCTAATATGGATTTTCTTAATTAATATTTTTTTCTGAAGTACCAGCCGAATGGAAAATATTAAGTTTATACAATAATATTTTCAGGATATCGACCAGTCGAATTCACCAATGATTAGGGCATTCATGCAACATCCGACGTAAATCTGGAAGTCTGAGTGTATACTTATAGAAGTATTATCTATTCTTAAAGTAGATAACTGAAGGGTAAGTAATGAAATACTAGAGGTAATGTGAGCAATGAGCTCGCCAAATGATACCCCTCACCTCTCAAATGGTTATAATGGCAAAGTCCTTATTTTGCCATAGCAGGGATTTAAACCCAAATTATGTGTCAAATCAAATGTAAAATAGGAGTTGCACATTTGCAATATGTAATAAAGATTCTGTGAGTTTCATTAAAATTCACTCAGTGGTATAAGAGGAGTTGTGGATAAGAGAATTGGGTCCCCATAACGTAACAGACAGATGGACGGATTGACATACAAAGAAACAGACATACAGATGAACAGACATACCAATTACTATATCCCTCCTGTTTTTCAAAGAGGGGTATAATAAAGGGTCCTTTGAAAATATTGTGGGGCATAAGTTGGGCCCATTATATATACTGATATATACTGAAAGGAAAAAGAAACGCAAGCTAGCAGAATTTTCAAAAACTTTTTGACTGCATGACCAAAACTTAAGAAAATTGATCAGATGAGAAATTTAGTTACTTTGCAGAATTACTCAATTGTAAACTGTATGACGTCACATAGGGAAAACGCTAAAAGGTCCAAAACACATGCAATTTGATGATGACGAGTTTGTCAACGAAATTTGTTGCACATTTTGATGCACCTGAGGTATACACATTATTGTCCCCGGCTTTCACAAAAGCGAGGGAACATTAAATTTCATTCGTCTGTCAGTTTTTCCGTCTGTCAGTCAGTCACAAAAACTTTAACCTTGGTCATAACTTTTGATTTAGTGGAGCTATGACTTTCATATTTCACATGTGTATTCTTAGTGACAAGAACTTTCTTTGGGTTCCACCAAAGGTGACCTTATGACCTTGACCTTGGAATTTGACCCACTTTTACACAAATTACAAATTTTTACTTTGGCCATAACTTGAGAATGTTAGATAGTAGGTCTTTCATACTTCACATATTTTTGTGGCAAGACCTTTCACTAGATACCAATAACTTTGACCTTTAGACCTTGACCTTGGAAAATTTATGTACTTATGAAAATATTAACATTGGTCATAATATTTGAACGGTAAGGGCTAGAGCTTTCATACCTCATACATATGTAATTCTTGTGAGGAGACCTTTCAACAATTTTGACCCTATGACCTTGGAGTTTGACCTACTTTTTAAAATCTTTAACCGTGGCCACAATTTTTGAACGGTTTTAGCAAGGTCTTTCATACTTCACATATGCATTACTTGTGGCAAGATCTTTCTTTATTATATATTTTTATTTTGCATTTAAGAAAAGTTGAATATTTGCTAATTTGCCATTTTGGTCATCAGGTTCACTTCCTTTACCTATACCTAAATATGACAAGATTTGACACATTATGTCATTTAAAATGACATATCTCCACAAAGACACCAAAGCAAGGGGACCACAATACATGTACTTTGAATTTGCTTGTTTTTTTTATGCCCCCGTAATGGTTTGGGTGTATGTAGTTTTTGTCCTGTCTGTCTGTCTTTCTCTCTGTTTGTCTGTTTGTCCACAAAAACTTTAACCTTGTCCATAACTTTTGATTAAGTGGAGCTATGACTTTCATATTTCACATGTATATTCCTTGTGACAAGACCTTTCTTTGCGTACCACCAAATTTGTCTTTTTGACCTTGACCTTGGAGTTTGACCCACTTTTACATAATTTTTTTTTACTTTGGCCATATCTTTTGAACAGAAGACACCAGGACATTTATACTTCACATATGTAATGTTTGTTGAAAGACCTTTCACTGGATACCAACAACCTTGACCCTTTGACCTTGACCTTGTAGATTTCCATACTTATGAAAACTTTAACCTTGGCCATAACTTTTGAACGGTAAGGGCTATGGCTTTTATACTTCATATATGTAATTCTTGTGGAAAGGCCTTTCATTGGAAACCAAGAACTTTGACCCTTTGACCTTGACTTTTGAGATTGACCTACTTTAAAAAAGCAAACCTTGACCCTTACTTTTAAAGATTAGGGCTAGTGCTTTCATACTCTACATATTTGATGTTTATGACAAGACCATTCATTTGATAACAATAACTTTGACCCTATGACCTTGACCTTGGAGTTTGATCTCCTTTTTTTAGAAATTGTACGTTGACCATAACTTTGAACAGTAGACACCAGGACATTTATACTTCATATCTGTAATGTTTGTTGAAAGACCTTTCACTGGATACCAACAACCTTGACCCTTTGACCTTGACCTTGTAGATTCCTTACTTGTGAAAAAACTTTAACCTTTAACTTTTGAACAGTAAGGGATATAGCTTTTCACACTTCATATGCTTAATCCTTGTGAGAAGACCCTTTATTGAATACCAAGAATTTTGACCCTCTGACCTTGACCTTTGATACTGGCCTACTTTTAAAAATGCAAACATTGACTGTAACTTTTAAATAGTTAGGGTTAATGATTTCATATTTTACATATTTAATTCTTATGACAAGACCTTTCATTTGATAACAAGAACTTTGACCCTATGACCTTGGAGTTTGACCTACTTTTAAAAAAATTTCTCCTTGGCCATAAGTTCTGAACAGTAAGGGCTAGGGCTTCCATACTCTCCATAAGTATTCTATGTTGCAAGAGCTTTCATTTGATACCAATTACATTGACCTTTTTACCTTGACATTGGAGATTTTTGTACTTATTGAAAACTTAAACATTGACTTATTTTCAAATTTCACCAAAACCCAAGCAAATTGCAAGAGCTTTCATTTGATACCAATTACATTGACCTTTTTACCTTGACATTGGAGATTTTTGTACTTATTGAAAACTTAAACATTGACTTATTTTCAAATTTCACAATTGTTTTCCAGTGAGAATACCCTATACTTTTGTTTCCAATTAATTAACTTAGCATTTAAGAAAAGCTGAATCTTAATACCATGTTACGGGGGCGTGTGTTTTCACAAACACATCTTGTTTTTTTTTTATTTAGAGACGATGTAAATTCTTGCAATCTTGGTATATGGAAGTTCCATGGGGCCTGGTTTTCAAATTGCCTATATAATTTAATGGAAATGACAACAACGGTAACTTTAGTTAAGTTAGCAGTTTCTTGTAAATTTTTCCCCATAAAACTTGTTACCCATTGTCAGAGAAGAAATTGACAAGGATGTGTGAAGTCATGACACCTGAGATGTGTTCAGTTGACTGAGAAATTCAATGCACTTAGAGATAACTTAAGAGGTATAATAGGGCTTTGGACTTTGAATATACTTCGACATAAGAGGAGTATTTGAGATTACCATGTCTCAGATATCAGGTATTTTTTAAATCATATATAATTATAGAGAAAATGGACGGGACCGTTGATCGACTTCCATATAGCTGGGTATTTAAGATATCCCATGTACGAGATACTGATATTTACTTGTATAAAACTATGCATAAATACTAAAATAAAAACATGTATGCTGCAGATTTGTCATCTGAGAAATTCAAAGTTTAATTTTGTACAAGTAAAACCATGAAAAATGATTGGCATGTATCAGATCAATTACTTAAATTTACTTAAATTTGCTATATTCTTCATGTGCAACTTACTTTTGCTGTCAAGTTTGGTCAGCTGTTTTACTGGAAGCCTTGTCAATCTCACAAAACAATCTTTCACCTAAAAAATGTATGAAATATGAAAAAAAAAAAAAGTAAATGTAATAATCAGCATAACAAACTATGACTAAACTTTATATCCAATAGCAGAGTCCAATTTTGCATGTTACTAGTTACTATTACCAAATTAAAGGGATTTTTTTAACTTTTAATGAATGCTTTTTAGCTCACTTGAGCCAAAGGCTCAAGTGAGCTTTTCTGGTCAAAATTTGTCCATTGTCTGTCGTTGTCATAGTTGTTGTTGTTGTCGTCATAGTCGTCCTTGTCATAATTTTTCACATTTTCATCTTCTTCTCAAGAACCATTGGGCCAATTTCAATCAGACTTGCTACAAAATATCCTTGGGTAAAGGGGATTCAAGTTTGTTCAAACGAAGGGCCACACCCTTTTCCAAGGGGAGATAATTATGAATAAGAGAAAAAATTTAATGGCATTTTTAAAAAATCTTCTCAAGAACCACTGGGCCAGGAAAGATGAAACTCATGTGAAATCATCCTCAGGTGTAGATTCAAGTTTGTTCAAATCATGACCCTGGGGTAGGGTTGGGCTAAAATGGCCAATCAAAGTTTTTCATAGTAATATATAGGAAATTTTTTTTAAAAATCTTCTTCTCCAGAACCTCTGGGCCAGGAAAGATGAAACTCATGTGGAATCATCCTCAGGTAGTGCAGATTCAAGTTTGTTAAAATTCTGACCCCCCTTAGGGTGGGCCAAAATGGCAGATCAAAGTTTTACATTGGAATATATAGTAAAAAAATCTTCTTCTTAAGAACCATTGAGACAGGAAAGATGAAACTCATCAGGAATCATCTTCAGATAATGACTAGATTCAAGTTTCTTTAAATCATGACCCTCGGGGGTAGGGTGGCGCCAAATAGCCGATAAAAGTTTTACATAGGAATATATAGGGAAACCTTTTAAAATCTTCTTTTCAAGTACTTCAAAGCCATGCTTAGTGATACTTATAGGGAATCATCCTCATGTATTGTAAATTCTAGTTTGCTCAAATCATGACCCCTTGGGGAGTTAAAATTCAAGCTCCCTCCATCTCCTACCTGTACCTCAGTAAACTTTCAGTTCTGATCTGATATGTGCTTTTTTTTCTAGCCAATTGCTCAGGTGAGCAATGTGGCCCCTGGACCTCCCCCTTTAAAAATAAATATGAGTAAAAATTTAATTGTTTTGCAAAACTAATTTACTCAGAAAAGAAAAGTATCTTCAGACAGGCAGAAAATATATATTTATTAGTCTGTCAAAAATAAAAATAATTAAATAAAATTAATGTTGCAATGTACTTTTTATAATTTTTTCAAATAAATAAAGCATTAACATGAAATGTTTATACCATGAATTTGTTGAAATCAACACTATCAGGAACTACAATCGTATTGCCGATCTCATTGGTTTTTCTCTATACATGATTACATCATCTTAGCCTGGTCCCCTGGCTCATCCTTACCAAGGCAGGAGAGCCAGGTGGATTACATCTTATGCTTTCCTTTGATTGGTCAGAACATTATGCCCGCTAAATTGTGGGTTTTTGAACCATTGCCGTTAACCACAGAAATAAGTATTGACGTAACAATGACACATTACGTCGACGTCCAAAAATATGATGTCACAATGAATGTGTTCACCGGAAGCAAATCCATATTGGACGTCACAATAAACTAAGATTCAGGGCAGATTCGCCCTGAATCCATTGTACTCCACCTGACCCTAGTGACGCGGAGTGTACAAAGCAAAATAAGGACAGGGAACCAGGCTAACATCATCTAAATATCTGACATCTTTCTTTATGTGTCATACTAAATCATGATCACTAAAATGTATAATTTCATTCCAGTGAGTCCTAACATTAAGCGCCGAATTGACTCAGAATTACCAACTTTCCCACCAAGAAGTTACAAAGTTAAAAATAACTATGGGGTTTTCCAGTGAAAATTGTCGAAAATTTGAACATTGGTAAATTCTTTTTATCCCCCAGAAAACTTTATTAGACCGTTTGGACTAATTAGCTACAATTTTTATTCGTCTGAATGAAAATGTGTTAGTCTGAGACTTACAGACTAACGTTAATGTTGAACCCTGATAAAACAATACAAAATAGGAGCAGAACAAACACGGACCTCTGAAACATCAGAGGTGGGATCAGGTGCCATTGAGGAGTAAGCATCCCCTGCTGACCGGTCACACACCCCTTGTGCTCCTTGTCATGATCAAGAAATATTTTTTAAAATCTGTCGTCAATTCAGTGTATAAATATATTGGTATGAAAAACATCAGTCAGCATTTGACTCATTTAATGATTATGATAAATAGTATTTATACTGACAATATCATTGTATTGACCATACAACTTATTATATGATGACTTTAAGCAAGACTGGTGATATTCTTGTTTCATCAACTTACTTGTCAATTATTTTCCTTGTTTAAGAAATTGTTCATATGTAGAGCATGCTCTTGCATAACAAATCAACTGATATATATACTCTGTATGCAGGTGATGATGGTATGTTGCTGCATAAGTAAGGGAAGTTGACAACAGAAAAGTTAAAGTAATCAAATTAATCTAATCTAATTAAAATTAGATGTTAAATCCGCTCGTATATATACTTGCCACTAACAAGAATGCGAGCGGATCTAACATCCAAATTTATTAGATTGCATGCTTATAAAATATAGGTAACTCTCGATACCTTGAAGTCAGCGGGACCAAGAAAAAAATTCGAGAGATCAAGTGTTGGAGTTTTCAAGAGTCTGGAATTTTCGGGGTTTGTTTGACAGGTTTTAAAATTAATCTTACCGGATGTAATGATTTCCATGCAGTGCTAACCTTTCAAACATGGTTTTTATAAAACAACGATATGTTTTTGTATTTTTGATGAATGTTTATGAAACTGAATAAAGCAAAAAATGTAGTAGTCAGTTCATGTTTATTTATTTATTCTTTATCATAAGGACATCATACTACGCATTCGTTATATGAAAGCGACATTTTACTACGGTACATAGCATTATGACTTTTCCAAACATATGTGCATGCATTGAACAAAGTTCTGTAAGTAATTGTCCAATTAAAATAGTCATCATATTGACACTATAAGGCTGTTTCTGGATTTTCATATTTCTTTAAACTTTGACACGAACATGAAATAAAAACTAAAGATCTTCACTAAGTGTTTTATCTTACAACTACAATTTCTCAGTGACACTGCATTTCTAAATTATCGTAATACAGTCAATGATAATTACATGTAATTTAAAAGCATATAGGCATAAGATTAATTATAAATCAATTATCGCCTTGCAGTATTAGTTTCACCTGAATAAATATCCCATTTCATGTCACCCAGTGTAGCATAATATTTTGATACCGCGATATATTGAACCCGGGTTCAAAATATCACATAATATTTTGAACCCGGGTTCAATATATCGCTGTCCTTTTAATTTAAGAGGGAGGGGCCCTTTTTAATCTTAGAGGGAGGGGGTTCAAAATATTATGGCCATAAAATATTGAACCCCCCTGCCCTTCTGATTTAAGAGGGAGGGGGGTTCAAAATATTATGGCCATAAAATACTGTAAAAGTGGTTATTTACACTGGTTGTAAAGTACGTGTTTGTGACTGTCAAACATGATGCATGGGTATAATATATGCGGTCGCTCGAGTTACCAAGACAAATTTACACAGACATCAATATTGTAACTACATTTAAGGGTACTTACCACAAACAAAAAATGGATGCGCGGGTTGATATATATTTTTTGACTGATTTTGATTTGTATTGATATAAATAATAAATCCCTGAAATTTAAAGAAATCGTAGGTTTTCCTTGGTGCTTAGATTTGAGATTTTATTTTGCCTTCTATATAATTCCATACAAAATTTTGCACAATTTTTTAACTTTATGACAAAATCTCATAAAATTCTCCCACTCTACTTGGTAAACATTATTCAGGTTGTCAATTTAAATGTAAATCTATGAGAAATAATGCTGATTTCTGAAAAAAGGTTGTTTGTGTTATTTATCCTTAACATCGGTTTGTTCCCTTTTGAAAATGATAAGAAAGAAAATAATTAAAGATAGTTACAAACTTTTAAAAGTAATGTTTACATTGTTTGGTAAATACTGTAAATGTATTATATTTGGCGTGTACGATATTTGGCGGAAATTGAATTTTCAACAAGTTGGCGTAGATTTGATTTAGCGCTTTTTGAATATGCTTTACATAGACCTTTATTACACAAAGCATTTAGCGATGTACTTGATTTAGCGGAGGCTGCTTTCCGCGAAAGGCGCTAAAAAGAATACACAGCCAAATGTAATATGTTTACAGTATAACGGCGATGTGTTCAGTAAAATGCAGTGAAGATTGAACAACTGGCCTTTCTTGTAATTATTAACACAAGCTCAAACTTCAAAGTGAAATCTACTTTCGAGTTTTGAGTTTTGACAGTTAATTTGATAGGTATGATTGTAGTGACTGTGAGTTTATTTAACATTTTGGACTAATCGATTGAAATTAAGAAAGTTATAAACGAATATACAAAGGAAATGAAAACGAGTGTATCGATGTTATATTGCGTGACGTTATTTGCTTTAAAATATTTAATATGAAGATGCATTTTTCATCGCACAAGTAAAATGATAATCATCACCATTTGTGTTATATTTGTCTATACACGTGCGTTCAATACCATGATCATAGACATACGACTGATTCAAGAAGGATATGGAAATAACGAACAGTATTCAATCTCAACGTCCATTAAACAAATATACAAAATAAGAGCAGAGCAAACACGGACCTCCGAAACATCAGAAATAGGATCAGGTGCCATGGAGGAGTAAGCATCCCCTGCTGACCGGTCACACCCGCCGTGTGCTCGTTGTCACAATCAGGAAATACCGGAAAAAATCCGTGGCCAATTCAATGTATAAATAATGGACTAACAATTGGTATGAAAAACGTCAGTCAGCATTTCATTCAATGATAAATTGTATTTGCTGACAAGGTCATTGTATCGACCATAGAATTTACGAAATGATGACTTTAAACGAGACTGTTGATATTCTTGTTTCATCAACTTGCTTGTCAATAATTTACCTTGTTTAAGAAATTGTTCATACGTAGAGCATGCTCTAGCATATCAAATCAACTGAGATATAAATACTCCGTATGCAGGTGATGAGGTATATTGCTGCATAAGTAAGGAAAGTTGACGATAGAAAAGTTAAAGTCATCACGTTTATCATATAGCTTGGTTGTTAGATTACCATTAGTGTCTTTTTCAAGTAAAATATCCAAGTATGAAGCAGAAGTGTCGGACTCTGTGGTATCTTTTATCTCAAGCACACCAGGATATATCGTGTCGATGTAGGAATGGAAATTATCATTATTAAATGACAATACGTCGTCGATATATCTAAATGTCGAGTTGAAGGCCACAGCAAGTGTTTTCTTCTTTTCACGTAAAAGATTTTGTATAAATTCTGCTTCATATGAATATAAAAATAAGTCTGCTAATAACGGAGCGCAATTTGTACCCATGGGAATTCCAATAGAGGCCAATAACCACATAGATATTGTCAATCAGAAACTCAAGCATCTTTTTTATGTCAACTTCAGAGTACTTATGTGTGCAATCAGAATCTGTTTTAACAAAATAATTTTTCAAATGACCAATGACGAGGTAAGTAAACTTACGAGTTCCATTTTTGTTGAAGAAACAGCTGTCAATGATATCAAAAAGCCTGGATTTTAATTTGTCGTGGGGAATTGTTGTGTATAAAGTTGAAAAGTCGTAAGTTTTTATGCTGTTGAATTTCGTAAAGTCTTGTGATTTCAAATTGTCCAAAAGTTCTTTAGAATTTTTAAGTATCCACATCTGAATTTACACCACTTCTTGAATATATAGTTGTACAGTACTCTTGAAGTTTTTCCTTCACTACTGTCAATATTTTAGTGAGAAGTAACGAAAGAGGCTTGGTTGAACATTTACTGGAACCTGCAATGTATCTTTGTTTGTAAGGACTCTTATGAAGTTTCGGAATCCAATATATATAAGGTAGTTCAAATTCATTTTGGCTCTGTGGAATATTAAAAGTATTCAAAACTGAAAGGTGATTCTGAAGAATTTCTTCCTTAGAAAGAGAAGTATATGTATAAGTAGGATTACCACTTGTAGAATTAAATCCAAATTCTTCTAGAATGCAATTTATATAATGAGCCTTACAAACGAAGACAATGTTGTTACCTGCTTTGTCGGCAGGAACCAGTACGTACTGATCGTGTAATCAATCTAATTCTTTTTTCACTTCTGGTTTATTGAACACAGAAGGATAGATGGTTTTCATTTTGCCCCTCAATCTTTTAATACGTGACTTTATAACATTGATCTGATACATTTAATCCATTCTGACAAGGTGTCAATGTCTTCTTTTTCATATCTAGCCCATCGTCTGGCATAATTTTCAACAGAATCCATAAATTTATGAAATTCTGACGCCAGTTGAAGGATCAGGGTTCCCGTCATCTAACAATATAAGTAATAATCTAGAAATATTTCAGAAGATTGAAATTTTGTTACCATACGCGCGGGGGTATTTTACGCGGTTTTTAGCTTACCACATAAGTAGTGTAAATTTCCCCCATGCGTAAATAACCACTTTTACAGTATTGAACCCCCCTGTACTTCTGATTTAAGAGGGAGGGGGGTTAAAAATATTATGGCCATAAAATATCATGTCCCCCTACCCTTTTAATTGATGTGGGAGGGGGTTCAAAATATTATGGCCATAAAATATTGAGTCCCCCTGCCCTTTTTAATTTTAGAGGGAGTGGGTTCAAAATATTATGGCCATAATATCAAGTCCCCCTGCCCTTTTTAATTTTAGAGGGAGGGGGTTCATTTAGAGCAGGCTCGGGGTATCTAACTGCTTATACGCAAGGCAGTTTTTAGCATTTCTCAGGAAACAGGTTTCTTTTAAAAATGACCAGTGCTTACTAACAGACCCCTATTCACTGAGTTAAAAAAGACACGAGTTCTCAGAAAAAAAAAAATTTCACATGTTGATTAATTTTTATGAAAATTATTTTTGTGAATGTAATGCATGCGCAAATTTGCTAAAAATTTATCTACAGTAAAAATTTCCAGATTTACGGTATACAGCACGAACATGTGTAGCCCTACTTCATGATTACACCAGCCACTCCATATCCTGCATTGATAGTGCTAAATTTTGAATACACCAAATAATATACACATACAGTATTCTTACCTGATCAGTTTCCTTTATCTTTTTTGTTGTTTTTCTTTGTTCTTTAGGCACCTAAATAAATCAAATATAATCTATAAGATGAAAAAAAAAATCATTGCCTGAGCATCAAACAGGTCTTCAGTTTAATTTGACAAAGAAAATGGTACTTTTTAAAAAGAACAAAATACCCATGGGCCACATCACTAACCTTAGTAACTTTAACTAATCTTCACCAGATTTATCCTTTTGTATTATCTATTGCAGCCCTGTCCTACCCCAGGGGGTCATCATTTGCAATTTAGAATCTATAATTTCCTGGGAGATTTCCAAATATTGGTTTCAGCTTATCTGACCCAGTGGTTCTTGAGAACATTTTAAAAGAGTTTTACAATATATTACAATATACAACTTGGATATTCCCTATTGTGGCCGGAACCCTTCCCTACAGAAATTTTTCTACACAAAGGTAGCCCTTTAGGCTAGTATAAATTCTATCTATATTGCATAATAAGTGAAACACACATTAACCAGTATTTTACATTCATTTTTTGCTATCAAATTCCTAACCAGTTAAAATTTTCCCAATAACATGGTCCTACTGTCAATAAAGCTCCATAATCTTTGAAACTTTACTTATAATTATAAAAGTACGCATTAATGATGTACAAATCTGTTTTCTAAGGCAAGGTTCATCACAAATTTTCAATTTCCGTATGATAATGAGGACACCCTGACTTTTTTTTACTGTCATTTTACATGGTCAGCGCATGTTTGTCTATTGTTCTCAATAAGACAGTCATGATTAAAATTATGAGGCAATGTAACAATTCTAAATATGGACATCTAGATTTTTTGTACAGTCTTCACAGAAAATATTACTATAAACATTATTTAGTGTATAAATCATAAACAATGAAATTTTGACCTGCTCCATCATGTCCATGATCTGATTTCTCTCATTTTTTAAAAAAAAAGTCTAAAATAAATAATATTTCAAAAATTCTTCATGCATTTCATTTAAATTCTTAGAAGAAACATTCACTACCAAATTTGGAAACTGAATAATGTTTAGCAAAAAAGTTATGACAGGACTCCCAAAACTTTACGAACAAACCTCATATTTGAATTTCACATAAATTAATTTCTGTTTCTTATGACAACACCATTCATCAATCAAAAACTGTTACACAAAATTATGTAACAAATTTGAAATTCGGATAATATTGTATAATCTGGCCATTATCTTTGGAACCAGTATGGCGTCTGGATTAGATAAGCTTTGCCATGTTTACAGTATTACATGTAGCTGGTAATAATTGTTATTATGCAGCCAAATGTTAAATAAATTATGTTTCAACTAATGTGAAAGACTTACCTTTCTCCAAGATAAGCCTGTAACACCATAATCATATCTGATTTCTTCTCCTGCATGTATATATCGCTTTGCAAAGAGAACCAAGTGATAACGATCCTCCATCTGTATCCGCAACATTTCAGTGTTGCTTTTAGGATCAGCACTTGGTGAATCATTCACATACCTCCCAATCCTTGTAGAAAATGTAGCATCAATGCTGAAAAAATTGATATAACTTGAAAAGACCAAGAACAATAAAATATCAGACAATTGTAACAAAGCATCTTTTAATTTAACGTAGCTGAGGGTTTGCAAGGCTTTTAAAAGTGTCCGAAAAACATAATCATGAAAATTGCCTATTATGATTTCTCTACCTTTGATTTTAATTCCCTGAAAATTTTGTAAAATTCATCTGCACCGTTTGTGCATAATTGAATTCCAAAGATGTCATTGTTATAGTAACATTTTCGACATTATTCTATTAAATTGCATTGGAAAAATGTTGTTTTTGGCTTGATTTCAGACAAGGGCTTGATTTTAAAAATATCTATAACTTTTTAAATATTACAGATGAGTTTGTTTATCCTCTGGTATTTCATAAAAACTAGAAATGATTTGAAATAAATCTATATGGAAAAAATTATATGTCTTCGGGTTCATTTTCTGGTAATTTAAAAGCACTTAACTGCTTTTATATTGAAAAATAAAGCATTTTTAAGAACGACATAAAAAAAATTGCGATGTCACGCTCAACGTTGTGAATATCAATCTGATATACTGAGTAAAAACACAACCGAAAAAAAAACCAAAAAACAAATTATACTGATTTTTTTTTAAACAAGAGGCCCAAGGGCCTTGAATTGCTCTTCTGATTATACAATCTATCCAATTACCCAAGATGCATCAATTGACAAAGTTTGATGATTCTTAGCCAGTTAGGGCTGAAGATACATGTATTTAAATGTAACTATAAAATACTATAAGTAGGTCATAGTGACCTACTTTTTGATTGAAATTTTCTGAGGACACAAGTTGCATTAATTAAGACAAACATTGATAATTCTTAGTCAATAAGTACTTGAGATATTTAAAAGTGGGTCACAGTGACCTACTTATTGTGACCTACTTATTGGTCAACATTCTCCTTAAACCCAAGGTCCATCTACTGAAAAAGTTTTACAATTCTAAGCCATTAAGTACCCTAGAATACTTTTTAAAGCCATAAATGTCACAAGTGGGTCAATACCTATATTTTGATCATCATTCTCCGAGAACCCAAGATGCATCAACTGACAATAAACCATAGGAGATAGGGACTTCATATTTGGTATACTTACTCCATTAATAAAGTCCTTTGGTGTAAGTATACCAAATGAGAAGTCCCTATCACCTATGGTTCAAAAGTTATGTCAAATAGTGGAAAAAACTAATTTTAGCATATAGGTCACAGTCAAGGTCACAAAGTCATTGGCCTTGATGTCATTTGAAAGGACTTTATTAGTGGGGTACGCATACCAAGTATGAAGTCTGTATCTCTTATGGTTCAAAAGTTAAATATTAATATTTAATGTGACCCCACCCTACCCCTGAGGGTCATAATTTGAACAAACTAGAATCAACACTACCTGAGAATGATTCCATATAAATATCAATAATCATGGCTTTTAAGTACTTAAGAAGACAATCTTTAAAGATTTCACTTTCAAGTCCTATGTAAAACTTTGATCAGCCATTGTGGCACCACCCAACCCCGGGGTCATGATTTGAACAAACTTGAATCTACACTACAGGTAGATGCTTTCACATGAGTTTCATCTTTCCTGGCCCAGTGGTTCCTGGGAAGAAGATTTTTAAAGATTTCCCCTATACACTTCTATGTTACATTTTTTGCAATGGGGCCCCCACCCTACCCCTGGGGGGTCATGATTTGAACAAACTTGAATCTACACTACCTGAGGATGCTTTCATTCAAGTTTCATCTTTCCGGGCCCAGTGGTTCTTGAGAAGAAGATTTTTTTAAAATGCCATCAATTTTTCACAAATTCATCACTATCTCCCCTTGGAAGAGGGCGTGGCCCTTAATTTGAACAAACTTGAATCTTCGTTACCTAAATATACTTTGTGGCAAGTTTTGTTGAAACTGGCCGAGTGGTTCTTGAGAAGAAGATGAAAATGTGAAAAGTTTACGATGACAACGCTGACACCGACGACACCAACGATGACAGACGATGGACAAATTTTGATCAGAAAACCTCACTAGAGTCTTCGGCTCAGGTGAGTTAAAAATTGATCAATCTTACCACACTTTTAAAAAGAAGAAAATGTAACTTCCCAATGATAGTGGGTAAGTTTTCTCTCTTTTTCTGCCTTCTTCCCTGGTTATGTATTCGCCATCATACTCAAGGACAAATTCTCCTTCTTTAAAATCCTTTACAGCAAAGACTCCTTTTCCTAGTTGAGAAAAGAGTAAAATTTCAAAAGCCTGAATAAGCTGAAACAATTTAATGGTTTAAAACATTAAAAAGAAGAAGTTTGTGAGTGAATGCTCATGCGTAATACCACCACTCTAATGTGAATTTTTAACATATACAATAATAATACTATTGTAATAATAATATTTAAATATGTACACAAGTTCAGCCATTGGCAGACACAAGGATAAACAGGAAGTTGACCTTTAGATTTGAACAAAAATGATTACCACCAATATGGCATGCCTCACCAAAGAATGTGCTAAAATTTTAAGCATTTGTGATTAGTTGTAATTGCAGGAAGTTGACATATGATCTCAACAACCAGAAGTCTCTGTCGAGACTGTTACAGTAGCTCTTTGATTTATACTTAAAACAAAAGAAAAGTAGCAGTTGCGACTTGAAACTTTTAAACAACAATAAATAGAACAAGAGGCCCATGGGCCTGATAGGTCACCTGAGCATTACGCAACAACTTTCCAGTGATTGAATTTGATTCATGTTTTAAGCCAAATTATACTATGGCATTCACAATTTTGAAAGACGCACCATTGATCATCATAACAATACACTTGGCAATTGCTTAGTTTGTTTACTTAATACGGCCCATACGCAGGGTAAGGGAACGAAAAATACATTTCAACTTATCAGTAATATTCATTATTCAGCAATACTCAGTAGTGCCCCTACCATACATGAACCCCTGACCCTTAGGCCTTGATATTTGATTAATACCATGGAACAGATTTCAAACCATTCATTCATTTTCAGTATCTAAGTACAGCCCCCCCCCCAATCTATGGTACCCCTGACCCTGGGGCCTTGAAATTCACAATTCTGGAAGATATGGGCCATTGTAACTATATTGGTCGTTCATCTGCTTAATACCCTGGATCAGAGAAGAAAATTTTCAAAGATTTAATATATTTCACTATATAATCAATAGAGCCCTGCCCTAACATCAGAACCCCTGACCCTGGGGCCATAACAATCATAGTTTTAAAGAGGCATTCTTGATCATCATAACTATGTACTTACTAAGTTTATTTATTTCCTAGGAGCAGAGGAAAAGATTTTCAAAGAATTAATATATTTTCACTATGTAATCAATACAGTCCCACCATTACACTAGAACCCCTGACCCTGGGGCCATAAAATTCATTATTTTGGTAGAAGCACTCTTGCTCATCATAACTATGTACTTAGTTAGTTTATTTATTTCCTAGGAACAGAGGAAAAGATTTTCAAAGAATTCACTAAATAATCTATAGAGCCCTGCCCTAAAATCAGAACCCCTGTCCTTGGGGCCATAAAACTCATAATTTTGGTAGAGGCACTCTTGCTCATCATAACTATGCACTTGTTTAGTTTATTTTATACCCAGGAGCAGAGAAGAAGATTTTCAGAGAATTCATGTATTTTCACTATATAATCTATAGAGCCCTACCCTAACACCAGAACCCCTGACCCTGGGGCCATAAAATTCATAATTTTGGTAGAGGCACCCTTGCTCATCTTAACTATGTACTTAGTTGGTTTATTTAATACCAAGGAGCAGAGAAGAAGATTTTTGAAGAAATAATGCATTTTCACTACCTACTTATTAAGCCCAGCCTCAGCACTACAACCCCTGACCCCAGGGCCATGAATTTCACAATTTTGGTAGAAGACTCATTGCTGATTACAATCATGCAAACAGTTTGACTGCTTGATGTCCAGAAGTAAAGAAGAAGAATTTTAAAGATTGCATTAATTTCAGTGGTTTTGGCCCCATTCCTCAGGCCCCAGGAGGGCAAGGATTATGAAATTCACTATTTTTGTTCCCCTTCACCCATACATGCTTTATGCCAAATTTGGTTGAAATTGATACAGTGGTTGCAGAGAAGAAGCTGAAAATGTTCAAATGTTATCACACGACGCACAACACAAGACGCATGACGACGAACGAAAACAAATAGCAATAGGTCACCTGAGTTTACTCAGGTGACCTAAAAATGATCCTTATGCCACTCATCAAAGCAAAAACCTATGCACAGAATTATGCAATTTAGTGTACTCTACTTGTGTGCCAAATTACATTGAAATCTGGCCTAAATGTAGGAGGTCAGTAGCATTTTGAAAGAATTGCACAGAAATTCTATTTTTAGTAACTATGGCAACACTGTTCATCGAAATAAAAAAATGATGCAGAGGATTTTGTATCTTAGTGTAGTTTTCTTTTGTGCCAAGTTATTTTGAAATCAGATCAAAACTGGAGTAGCATTTTGAAAGAATTTTACAAAAATTTCTATTTTAAGTAACCATGGCAACACCGTTCATCAAAATCAAAAACTGATGCAAAGAATTATGTATCTTAGTGTAGTCTATATGCGTGCCAAGTTATATTGAAATTGGACCAAATCTGTGGCCCATTGGTTCTTGAGAAGAAGATTTTCAAAGATTTTTCCTATATATTAATTTCTATGTAAAACATTGATTTCCCATTGTGGCCCCGCCCTTCCCCCGGGGGTCATGATTTGAACAATTTAGAATCTACACTGCCTGAGGATATGCTTCCACATAAGATTCAGCTTTACTGGCCCAATGGTTCTTGAGAAGATTTTTTAATGACCCAACCTTATTTTTGCCTTTTCT